AGACAAATGTAAGCTAAATCTTACTAAGATCTTAAAAAGATTTTTCTAAGATCTTAGTAAGATTTGAGTAAGTTTTTCACTAGGGAAAGAACTCAGTAGACAAAATTGTTTGCTTGACGGTGGAAGCTAGTTAATCATCGACGGAAGCAGGAGTAGAAGACATTGGATTGGATGAGTTATTTAATTTCTTACTTAATTTGTCACGTATTGCAATATTGTTTCTTTTTAATTTGTTATTATCCATGACTCATATAATTTATTTGTGATAAAAAATACTAGACAGTTGTGTAAGAAGACAAAACTAACGTCCGTTCGTCATGATAAGAAACAATCAATGTCCCTCAGTTGTGATAATAATCGTTCTCTTAATTGATTACGATGGTAATGATGATTTAATGCTTGATTATGCCTCATTTTTTAACCTCAAATTCTTTTTTAAAAATATATAATGTGCTACTCACATGTAGAAAGAACAAAGAATGTACATACAGTCAAACGACTGTATGTATATACTTGCAGGTATATAGACAAGAGGAAAAAGATACGTGTTGATTGTCTTTTAGTAAAAAGATGAATGAGCAGAAATTAGTTTAAATAAAAAAGATAAATCAAAATAAATAAGTAAATAATGGAAAAAAAACATAGAAATTATTTTTCCATGTGTTTTGTGCTGGTTACTTCCGAAGACACTGAGCACAATCTTGAAATTATTTTTATCATCTCATATCATACTGTCTTTTCACAGTGATCTAATCTAGAAACTCCAACCAAAGTTGCTTTATCGTACTCTATTTTTTCTGCAATGGCTTTTAGAGCCCTTACTAACAGATATCACAGGAAGAACTTGTCTAAAAGTTGATTAGATACCTCTGTGCGGTCAGATTTTTCAGTTATTACACCGAGAACGGCCAAATGTTGCTTGATTTTCTCCGCCACATATTATTTAGCGCTTATATTAGGGGTGCAAAGTGTGTGTTCAGGTTTCAAAACAACATAATGTTTCTGGACTTAGCTATGAGTTGGTTATGCACAGACACACAATTTTCAGAAGGTAAATGGCCATATGTAAGATATTAGCGTTTTACTGCAGATATGAAGAGTCTGTTCCATAAACCGTTGAATGAGAGCGAACCAAACTAGCTGGATAATCAACATCGAACGAGAGTTCCAACTAGACAGAAGCTATCTCGCTTTTTGCAATGTAGGATGCGAATATTGTTGATCGTTACAGCGTGTGGGTAGAAACCAGTTGTGGAACAAATTTCAAACAAATAAGTCACGTCAGATTACATGTTGATGAATATGTAGTAAAATCGAGTTTGAATGAAAATGTTCAAGTTTTCGATAGAGCTCATGTCTATCTCTAAGGAGTACATGTGATACGCAGAGCAATACTGCACAAGAGAAGTTTCATCAATGGATACTAAATTGGTGATTATAAAGCGAAATATTGACATAACTAATAACATATAATAAAAAGAAAGATAAATAGCTTTAAAACCGATGTGCATATAAATCTAAAAACGTTAATTTAATATTTTACTGTAAATAATTTATTTATTAATCGTCAAATCGCTTATGAATCGAATTATCAGATATATGGTAGCGTTGCGCGATTGTAAAAAACATAGCTTCAGTGATCACAATAAAAGAAAACCACAAGGGATTTCTCGGTGTTTCTAAATCCTTTTTGTCTTTGAACTCAATTAGTCACAGAAAAAAACTTTAAAAAACACAGCTTTATAGTCGAATATTTTTTATTCATTTTCACGAGCAAAAATAACTACATATTATTATCATTATTATTTCTTATTAGCTAGTGTTATTAGTATCGCTTGGTGACTACGCAAAATTAACGAAAAATTACATAATGAAAAAATTATCCCGTATAGGTGCATTAGCAGTTCTAACGCACAGTTACGGTCTAGATAAGATCGGGATAATCAAAAAGAAAAGAGTATATATATCACCAGTCAGAAGGTATTAACTTGCCGGCTTCCTGCGTCATGCACTGAAAAAGTAGTCCATTATTAGGTGAAATAGAATACAAAATGGTTGAAAGTATCAATGCAGCAGTTTATCCTCTACTCAGCAGCACAGGGGGAGAGAGGGAGAGAGAGTCTTAGTAATGCTATAACATGACGAAATCTTTTCTATAGTTGAGTTTTCCGACGCTGTGTGTCTGTATATAGACGAACTAATGCATTAACGAAAGCAATAAACTGTTTTTGACTCAAAGTTTGTTCATTATTATATTTTTTAGAAAATCTTTCTTGTACCTCTTGATATTCGTCTGCCCAGGATAAAGAATTTATACATTTAGCGTAAAGCAACAATGCATTTCCATCCTGGAACTGGTAGAGTTCATACAATTGATACAATATACGATTATCATCAAACCAGTTGGCAATATCTCTTGTTGTCCATCCATGAACTGGTTTAGTGTAGATATTTTTAGGTTCACAGGTATTCAAACTCGAATGAGTGCTGCCATTATGTTTTGTTATTGTATTTTGCAATTTTATATTACCACCTAAAATTGTATTCAACAGATCACGAAATGAATTTTTAAATTTTTCTTCACCATCGCCAAAACGAATATATTTTAAGCCAGCTATTCTTATTCCTAACCATCCGCCACATTGATAACCCTGGTCAATATATATTGGTATGAATCGTTTCCTTAATGTGTCTGTTGCATACGCTACTTCTTGTCGACAAGATTTACTGTCGAAATAATCTTTTGACAGAAGAAACAGTACAATATCTGCTTTCTCAATAGCACTTGCAATTTCTTCCCATATATCTATGAAGTGAGAATACATAAAATCAACCCATATATCAAGTTGTTTATCATGTTTCTTAAATTCATTAACTAATTGTTTACAAAATTGTGCATTGGCATGTGAATAACTAATCATAATTAGTGGTCTCTTATTTTGTTCTGTTAGTGATGTTTGTGTAGTTATGGTCGAAGGTGGTGGAAATAGATTTTGTAATATACCATTAACTGCCTTTTTGATTCTTGACATATGCCTTGGCACGTATTGTTCCATCGGCTGACAGGAACGATCTACAAAAGAAAAGATCGGTTATATAACACACAAAAATAACATTTTTTCACAACGTGGGTCTACTTCATTGGACGGCGATTAGGTCGAGTTGCCATGAGCTTTCAACAATGGGATAAAACTAGACCACGTGAAGCGGCTCCTCCCACCTCTGTTAATCTTAGTACGAAAGAGTTTAACTTCGACATACATGGAGGGCCATATCGCCTAGAATATCTGATATCAAAATCCAGAAAAACTTTATCTGTATAAATATTTTTCGGAGGATTTTCTTGAAGTGTGTTTATAGGAAGTGAATTCATTTTTCTGATGTTCCACGTCAAATTTTTCATGCGAGACACAACTTCATATGCGAGAAAACCGGAAGAACATTCTTTATCTCTCGTGCTTCGTGCCTTCCTGAACTATCATTTCAAACAGAAGTGAGAAAATGTTCATGTACAGAAAGGCTATGTCTGACAATACTTGAAAAGAACATAACAAAAATTTCCACGGTAAAATAAAGTCTTCTCGATTCTACATCTCTCAGTCGCGTTAAGTTGAGTCGTCATGTCTGTCTAGCTGTGTCTCACTACTGGACATCAGTTCAACGTCTCAGAGTTGTAACGGGGACCGGCAGACCGGCCGGTCCGTTCCGGTGTCAAAGTTTAGACCGGTCGCTCTCCATCGGTCTTTTGCCGGTCTAGAAAGATTTTCAAACCAACCAGTGGCTGACCGGATTTCTTCCGGTTTTGAAATTCTTAGAATTTTTCTCTTCTTCACTAAAAAAGAATGAGCTTTTCTACTCCCTTGTCCGTCTAGAAAATCTCTGAAAACTGGCCGGCTCCCTGCCGTTTTTTCACCGGTCTAATGTTTTTCAAAACCGACCGTTCTTTTGCCGTTTTTTAATGAGCCTAGAGAATTTTTCGAAACCGGCAGGTCTTTTATCGGTTTTTCACCGGTCTAAATCGATTTTTGGACTGACCGGCTGGATCCAGCCTCTTAGACCGGTTGCAACTCTGCTACATCTCTCGTACAGTGTTCAGCTAGGGAACATTAGGTGAAAAAACGAAAGTCGACTTGTCATCGATTGAAATAGTGCTAAATATACTTCAAAACGTGCTATATCTGATGGCATAAAAACATTTGATACTAAGCTTAAGGGTACCCCTTCCCTCTTTTGGGCTTTCCGTAGAAATGCTGTGAAATAAAACTAAAAGTCGCTAGGACTTCGTATTTTCGGAACTGATTGGAAACGCAATGGAGCACCTTTTCCTTTTTGTTTCAAGTTTTTAAATATTCCCATTCACCAGTTTTTCAGAAAACTCAGTTTTTCATTGTGCCACATTACGACCCCCTTAAATTTAGTTAGAGTTAAAAGCTTTATCAAAGGTACTAAAGGTCATTCCGCAGAGATAATGGTTGTGAAAGTTTTTAGAGACCTTTCCTACGAGCTATAGGACATGAAAAACGTCTCGAAAACGAAGTTTTTCAATTTTAGAAATCTTACACTCTAAAAATAATGCGATTTATAGTAAAACACACAATTCGGATCAGAAAAAGATGCTTTAATGCGCCTTACTGGAAGACATTATATGTGTCTTATGAGGGTAGACGCTTCAATGTGTCTCCCAGTCAAACACATTAAAGCATCTTTTTCTGATCCGAATTGTGTCTTACTATAAGTCGCATCAAAGTGTCTTATAATAAGACACAAAATAAAAAGGAAATACCGGTCCAGGTGAGATTTGAGTTCACTACCGTATGTTTAGAAGACGTGCATATTAACCATTACACTACCGGACCTACACCACAGAGTTATTCTTACTTGTTCTGGTCTTATTTTAGACTTGTAGAGCTAAAAACGCAAGTTTTAGTTTTGAAGAAACTTTTCGCCAAAATATTTTTATACAGACTATTAAAACTTGCTAAACGTCTGTAACTTTACATTAACACGGTAATACCAATAATAAGTTGTACAACGTCTGATTAGCATGTGATTGAGAATGCTCTAAGAGTCAAAAACTGAACTTCGGGCTTGGTGCTCTCTCGTGGAATTCAGTTTATCCATGCATCGGCCAAAATGAGACAGCCCGTTCTAAATTAGATTATTAGTAGATGACTAGGCTGAAATGAGAAAAAAAATTGAGCTCTTAACTTGAGAGCTTAAGACTGAGTTTTTAAAAATTTAATGTTAAGGATCACACTCCTCGTCGAAATCAAACAATTTCAGTAACTCTTGAATGAAGCAACATGGGCCCAAATCTTTTTAGGGTTTTTCTCAGAGTAATAGACTCTGCATATCAGCAAAATATGATCGAAACCGGGATGGATCCCGTGGCACGGTTCCCTCGTTAGTTCATAAATGAATCTAAAAATTCAATAATACAACAGACGGATTTGCCATGGGATGAGGTTTTTGTCTCATCTCATATTTAGTTTCAAAATAAAGTTATCATGTGCCGGTCACTCGACTTGTTATATTTCACCTGGTTGATCACGAAACTCGATTCGTAACCTCGTCCCCATTCGCTTACTGCGTGCACAGGATAAAAATATCTTTCTACACGTGGAAATTTTCGTCCTGTCCCGTCCGATTTCGACCAATTGACCTTGGGTGATCCTAAAATGAGTCATGATAGGGGTACTCGGTCACACTGAGTCGAGTGGTGATGTTTATTGTTAGTTTCGAACCGACCTACACTCACTATGTCAAGATTTTCGAAATATCCGCTCTATACATAGCGATAGAAAGCTTTAATTTGAAAATCTTGATATAATGACTTTAGGTCGGTTTGAAACTAAATAAACAACACCACTCGACTCAGTGTGGCCAATTACCCCTATTATGATCCATTTTAAGATCATCCAACGTCAACCGTCGCCAATGGTTGAAATTGAGACTCGCGGAAAAATGCTTATAGATCCTGAACCATGAGAGAGAGTTAAGACTGGCCTAGAATTGTAGATCTCGGTTCGGGCTATCGATTGGACTGTTTGGAAATCAAAATCCATCGTACGGTCTACGAACGACGGTCTCGTAGACTTTGCATCGAAAGGCTTGCCATGGCAAACCTTACCTGGAAGCCTGGTTTTTGCATACGCTTATATCCTCCGATGTTGATTTTTTCCATGGTATAGATAGCCCAAAGTGTTTCCTACAGAACGAGTGGCAGGCGAGACCGTGATTTTCAACGACTCAGCTTCTTTTTCGATGCTCTCCAATTTCTTTCAAGATCCACAACTGGTATCTGGTGACTTCCAGAGACATTGAAAACGCATGAAACATACGTAGTCACCCTTCCTGAATCTCGTGGCAATGCTCGTTCTTCAAAACGAATTCAAGAACATAGATTGATGCAGCCATGGAAAAAATCAATTCTTTTATACTGCGAGTTTCAGCGTTATGGACTTACACCATTCCTTACACCATACTTACAGATGTACAATGATCTGCTCGATCCAACGGTGAAAAGCGTTTCTCAGAAAGTTGAAAGGCTATTGAGAAAAACATTTTTTATCGCGTAGATGTCACATCGGTATGGTTTAGTGGCCGTTCGACAGTTCTACTTTTTGACAGACAGTTTTCGACACTGTCGGCGTTTTCGCTCGAAATTCGACAGTATCGAGAGCCTGTCCAGTTTCGAGTAAAAATTTTCGACACTGTCAAATTTCATGCGAAAAATTTCACTATAGCTCTAGGAAAAAAACCATTAGTAGTCTTCGGGGCTTAGTGGCTGGACATTGAACGCGGTCTGGTAACTCACTCTCATGCCCACTCCTACCTACGGAGCTGCGCTTTTACGTCAGTACTCTTTTATGTCTTTCTGAAATTTTTCAATGGAAATTCAACAGGCTTTCGACAATGTCGAATTTCGAGTGAAAGCTTTCGATACTGTCAAATTTCGAGCGAAAAATCTGTCAAATTTTTAGTCTGTCGAAGAGTGTTTCTGTCGAACTGCGAAATTACCCATCGATACCCATCGATCAAAAGTTTTAGTTTTCCATACCATATAGCAGTAAACTCTAAAAACTATCCAGGCATATGCGCCTTCTAATGCTTTACTTTACACTATCAGAGCAAATCAAATTACAGAGCTTTCTGAAAACCGGCGGTGATCTTTCGCTGCGCATTGTTTCATGCCTAAGTATGCTCCGATTGAGCAAGTTTCCGTGCGTAATACGGTTCGTGCGCATCGTTCCTAAACCCCAGAAAGTCACAAACTTCTGAAATGGGTTACCCAGCTCACTACTAGTCATTAACTACAATTCTGAACAGAAGACTAGTCGGATGCAGAGTGCTTTCGACCAATTACTTGAGCTTACACGCGTCACTAATCAAGCACTAGCTTTCCAGAAAACACAGCTTCAGTCAAGAATCGAAAATAATTATTACCTTTAAGCTCTTTGTCATGTATATTTTGAATTGTAGTTAAAAAATCTTTACTGTTGCATAATTCAAATTTGTAAGCATCATGAAACGATATGCTCCATATGATATTTGCGAGTGCAGTTGATGCAAGGCGGACGAGTTCATCCTCTGAAGTGGTTAATTTTATTAATGTTGAACAAAAAAATTCTACCATGGATGATTTCATCGTCGATTGGTTTTTGATTTTGGCTTGTTTTAAAGCATAATCAACAACGATATCATTTACGAATAATTTCATTAAAACAACTAATGGTTCAGATATGTGAAAGCCATCGCATTTTAATGATTTCAGTTTTGATGCATTAAGCACTGTTTCCAATAAATAATCTAAAATATTATTTTCCACTTTAGTTCCATTAGAGTCACTTAACATTGCTAATAACATGTGATATACAACGTTTATCTGTTTATATAGATCATTATCTACAATAAAATCTAATTTTGTGTCAAGTATATAAGTTTTAAAACTTTTCAAAATGTCCATAGCCTTATTTGCATTCAAGACATCAGCACCCATATCATGGCGAGCAATATTATACAAAATACTAATGAGTGGTCGATAATCTTTACATGTCAAATATGGGAGTGATATCCATCTTAATGTAGCTTCTCCAAAACCGATTTTAATTAAACTTGGTACAAGTACTGTTCGGTCACAAAGATTCCACACCAGGTCGAGCATTTTCTTAATTAATAAATCATTATGGTATTTTTCGCTTAAACATTTGGAATCAAAATGAGCATCAATATGGTGAATGAATGAAGACAGTATTATTTCATATTTTTCTAAATCTTTACACGTAAGTTGAATATAATGCAAGGCTGTATAAATTACAGATAGAGTAGCAAAGAATATTGACCAATAAAAGTTGAATAATTCTTTTTCTATCGATTTTTTTCTTAGATATACGAATATATCTCTTGATAAATATAAATGATCTAATAAAATAAAAAATGTTTGCTGTGCATACTGTTTATTTACTTTGAATAGATCAGTAATTTTATATTTATTCGTTTCTATAATACAAACATATGATCTTAAGAATTGTGTACTATAGCCGGCAATCAAATTAAAATTGTCCATTTGTACTAGATTAAGACAATGAATTAGAATTATTTTAAAACTGTCAACTATATTTATTGAACTATATTTTGTTGCATCGCATAACGTTTCACAGATGTCAGAAAGATCATTAAAGTACTTAACAACTTGATCATATTTTAAACCTTCATCCTTTGTAGAATAATCGGCTAACAATTGTTTTAATTGATTAAACGAGTTAACAACTTGATCATTCGTTAAATTTTCTTTTAGTGATTGTGCTTCAGTAGCCATTAAAATTTTAACAACTGATTTTAAAATCTTATTTGTGTTGAATAAGCACTAAAAAAGGAATTGATAGTCATTAGCTGAGAAGAGGGATGGATCAACCCGAATCCGAACTGGAAGATTTTTTTCCGGACTCGGACTTGGACTAGCGATTCTTTAGAAAAAAACTCGGACTTGAACTTGGATTTTTGTATTTCGAGTCCCATCGAATCAGGTTTTAACATAAATGAACACTAAATTTTTGTCTTTACTAATTCAACAAAAAGAAAACAATTGTTTCTGCGTTTATCTAATCTTTTTTCGTCGAAAAGAATAAAAATGGAAATAACAACAACTTCTGTTTCACAAGAAATTAAAAATTTTATGCGGGAGACGGCGTGCAAAGTAATCTAGTTTTCAAAAATCGAATATCTATCCAATTGTCACTAAATTAGCTAGAAAACTTTTATGTGTTTCGACTACATCGGCACCGAAATAGCACGTTTTGCGAAAACTCAATCTATCTCAACTGACATTGTTAAAATGTAACAGAAGTTTACTTTCGTAACTATTTCTGTTTCAACAAGACTGATGTATTAAATGTCATAGAGAAATAAACCATAATCATAAAAAAGAATCTAAAAGATTACCAGACTCGAAATGGACTCGGGGCTCGGACTTGGATTGAATTTTTAAGGACTTGACTCGGACTCTGCACCCACCCGGACTCGCTCAACCCTTTCTGAGAAAGCGACAGAAAAAAGAATTAATAGTCATTGTGCGAGAAAGAAAGAGTTCATGACCACGAAATTAGTTAATAGACAGACAACAAGAAAATATATCAAGAAAAAGATAAATAGAACAAGAAATATGAACAGAACAAAAGTTTAATTTAATTTGTTTGAGTTTCTCTCGAGCTCCTTAGATCATAATGGTTTTATCAACTAAGTTTTTTTCGCAGCTTCCTAAATGCGATCAAAAAATTTAAGCCGATTAGTATAAAAGTGGTCGTAAATTTGAACGGATAAAGTTGCACATTCTGCGTTTCCAAAAGCGACCACTTTTTAATCCATGAGTAATCAACAATCGTAATTCAGAATATATAGAAATTAGTCGCTTTCTAGAAACAATTGAGAACAATAAAAGTCGAAACATATATGATAAGAATTGATGACTATATTTATGGATAGTAGGCAGCTATATCACTAAAAATTCTGAAAAACTCGGTTTTCTAGAATACTTAGTGACCTTAAAATTTCTTTCCAAAATTCAGTTCTCCACATAACGAGATGCTGGTCACATTTCTAGGATCTTGTGCCAAAATGCCATAGAAAATATGATACAGGCCGAAACTTCGTCATTAAAGCGAATGGGTTTAAATTCGTAATGTTAAACAGCCTGTAACTCGTCCGTCCGAGATCGCAAAAACGTAAATTCTCCACACAATGAGACGTTGGCAACGTTCTATGGCATTTTGGCACAACATCCTAGAAATGTGGCCAGCATCTCGTGGAAGAAATTTTAAAGTCACTAGATATTCTAGAAAACCGAGTTTTTCAGAAATCGCGCTCTCAAGATCCCGAGGGCTAGCATAATGTTTCTTCATCGAAATATATAGAACTCGACGCGCTCTTTCATTTGAGACCAAATTCAGGGTTCTACGTTAGGGAATGTGGTCAGCAGATGTTCTACAATTTAGGCCAAATCTGCCAGAAAATGCATTTTTTCCCTGCGAGAGTAAAATGACTATAATTTTTTTCTAACAAGGCTAGAGGCTTGCGGGTTTCACCATTCGGTTCAGCTTGTTGAGCTTTATAATATGAGATAGGTCTCGTCACTGACATCAAACGTCTATGTAAATTGTGGTAGGTTTTATATCGATCGATCCTATCCGGCGATGCCGAAACATCACTCTGTAGTAATATCCGAAAAAATAAGCGTTCGCACTTTTAACTAGAAATTAATTACCGGCTATTTTGTAGAGTTTTAAAAAAGCCTTCTTTTGATATATAATGTAGACCGCAACCTAGGTTCTTTCATGGTAAAAACACAAATATTATCCGTCCGTTATCCGACTACTTCATAGAGATAGTTCTAATAATTCATTTTTAAATCAGACTTTTCGGAGCTGTGTGTAACGTTTCGTTGACGAAGTAAACCACCCCCCAGAATAAAAGGGCATGCCCTTATACAGTGGTCCTGGCACATCGCTACTTTTTGGGTGGCCTTCTATTGGGGGTCAATTTTTGGCCAGTTCTTAATTAAAATCATTTAATTAATAACTTTAATTATTGTTTTTTAGGTGTTTTCTGCTT